ATTGACTTTCATGGTATGATTATTAGGATTCTGAATCAATGGAGGTGATCAGTGCTAGCACTTGGGCATCAGACATTTTGGGAGCCCATGAGTAATTTCAAAAAAAGTAATTTAACAAAAATTGGCTCTAGCTGTCATTTTTGGTGTTAGCTGTTTGTATCTTGATTCCTTTTGAATTGACCTGTTATCTTGTGTTGAAAGTGAAGTTTTGTCCCATTTCATTTGATTTCCTTTCCTCCCTGTATTAATGTAAGTTTCCAGCAGGCGGTGCTCAAGACCAGTTTGGTTGTTCTCTCCTCACCCACCACCACAAGGTATGCACTTGTGTTCAGTGCACCTATTACAAAGAGCAAAACTTTTAGGTGTATCTATTGTGGAAAAGTCTGTCTTCAAATTTGCTCTTGGCTAACTAAAAACAAAATACCAAGAAGCTGATTTTTACTAAGTCTCGCAGCCAATAGTTAAAGATGCTTCAAGAGGTTGTCTAACACAGTTGGCTGGATGGCAAATTGGCATTGCCAAGTAATAACAGCGTGGCTGAGTTTACCATGAAGGACTCCGCTCAGTCCCTCCCCTGCCTCGTTGGGACCCTTGCATTTAACCACCAGATCTGAGTGTAGCCCTAGGGTCTGGCAGAACTATAGTGACTTGGCTTCTGTGATATCAACCTTTTCACCTATGCTCCGTCTGAGCTTTGTTAGTGCTTTGAATTGGTTAATCCTTTAGTTAAAAAGCTAACAGATCCCAGTTGTTAGCATGTATTGGAGCTTTGTCTTTTTATTGGACTACGTTCATTTAATCCTGAAACACTGTGGATAACAAGGTGCCGAGCTGGATGAACACAGCAGGCCAAGCAGCATCATAGGAGCAGGAAGGATAGTCTTAATTGGAAGGACCATACTGGACCTTGTATTGACAAATGGGTGTGGCCAGGTGGCTGACATTTCAGTGGGAGAATGTTTTGGAAACCATGATCATAACTACCTTAAAGCCGAAGGAGTTACGAATAAGGATGAGTCAGGATCTTGCAGGAAGGTACAAGATTGGGGGAGGGCAAATTAGGACAGGATGAGGCAGGAGCTAGGGAGAGTTGATTGGGAGCAGCTGTTATCAGGCAAGCCCACACTTGACATGAGTTGTTCAAAGACCAGCTAATCAGAGTTAAGGCCTGGCATGATCCCATAAGGAGGAAGGTCAAGGATGGTAAGATGAGGGACCCTTGGATAATGGAAGTTTTGAATTTTTTTCAAAAGGGAAAAAGTGACACTTGAGGTTTAGCAAGCTAAAATAGGACAGGGCCCATGAGGAATAAAGAAGGAAAGTACTGGAGCAGGGACTTAAGAGAACAATGGGCTGTGAAGTGACCTTGGCAAGTGGGGTTGAAGAGAATCCCAAAGTATTCCGTAAATACATTAAAAACAAGGTAACTAGGAGCAGGTCGGACCACTCCAGGATTAAAAACTTCTGCTTGGAGGCAGAGGATGTGGCAGAGTTCTAAACGTACTTTGTGTTGATATTCACCCAGGAGAAGGATGTGGAGGATGATATGAATTTTCACATTCATTTCGTGGGATGAGAGCATTGCTGGCATTTATGGTTCACCCAAGAGGGTAGTTGGATCACCACATTGGGTCTGGAGTCGTGTGTAGTCCAGACCAGATAAGGATGACAGTTTCCTTCCTGAAAGATGTTGCATTTGGGAAAGCTTGGCCTAATTACAGGGCAGGTCACATCTTACGAAGTTGATTGATCACTTTCATCACTTTGTCAAATTCAGTGAGGTTGGACCGGTTGATGTTGTCTGCATGAATTTTAGTAAGGCTTTCAAGAAGGTCCCTCATAGGCTCATTCAGAAGATTAAGATGGATGGGATGCATGGTGACTTGCCTACGTGGGTTCAGACTTGGCTTTCTCGTAGTAGGCAGAGGGAATGTGATGGATGAGTGTTTTTTCTTGCTGAAGGTCCGTGACTAGTGGTGTTGAACAGGAATTGTACTGGGACTTTGGTTTGATTTTATATAAGTGACTTGGCTAATAATGTAGATGGGTGGGGTTAGTAAATTGGCAGATGACGCAAGATCGGTGGGGTTGTGGATAGTGTAGAAGGCTGTCAAAGGATACAGCGGGGTATAGATCAGTTGCAGTTATGGGCGAAGAAATTGCAGATGGGAGTTTTAATCTGGTCATGTGGAGTGCTGCACTTGGGAGATGAAACGTTAATGAAAAGTGTACAGTTAATGGCAGGATCCTGGACAGCATTGAACCCCAAGATCCCTTTATAGCCAAGTCCACAGCTCCCTGAAAGTGGCTACATAACTAGATAAAGTGGTAAAGAAGGTGCATGATATGCTTGCCTTTATTGGCTGGGGAATTGAGTACAAGAATCAGGATGTCATGTTGCAGCTTTATAAGACTTCAGTTAGGCCACAGTGTTGCATTCAACTCTTTGCCACATTACATGAAGGATGTGGAGAGGGTGCAGAAGAGATTTACCAGAATGCTGCCTGGATTAGAGGGTATGAGCTGCCATAAGAAGCTAGAAAAACTTTTTCTGGAGCAGTGGAGGCTGAGGGGGCACTTGGTCTATCAAATCATGGGATGCATAAATAGGGTTGACGGTCAGAATCTTTTCCCCAAGAGTTGAAACGCCTAAAACTAGGGGGCAAGCACTGATTGTGAGCGGCAAGAATTTTTTCAACTGGCAGATGTCTGGAACATGCTGTCAAGCGCGGTGGTGAAGTGGGTAGACAGGATAGGTGTCTTTAAGGGACTTTTAGATAAGTGAGAAATGGAGGGATGTGGACCAAGGACAGGCAGAAGAGATTAGTTAAATTTGGCGATAGAGATAGCAGGAACTGCAGATGCTGGAGAATCTGAGATAACAAGGTGCAGAGCTGGATGAACACAGCAGGCCAAGCAGCATCAGAGGAGCAGGAAGGCTGACGTTTCGGGCCTAGACCCTTCTTCAGAATTTTCTGAAGGGCCTATTCCAGAACTGCACTGTTCTGTTTTTTTTAATACTGTCTGTTCAAAAATTGTCTTCAGAGCAGTGTCTCCTTTCTGGTAATAGACTAGTAGGGCTGTCTTTATTATCATAACTTGAGGCATGACATTTATAGCAAGATCTTCTGTGACTCCTGTCCAGGCTCACTACAAAATAGTCACCTGTACTCTAGGGAGAGACTGAAATATTTTTGAAAACGTTGTTAAATGTGCAAAGCAAACTGTATTCATGTGTTCAGTCTGCATGGAGTCCACATGAGTTTTATTTCCATCAGTTGCCCCAAGCCCCATCTTTTTGATTGGTTAGTGATCTATCTATTCCAGCTGAGTTATCAAAGATTCTAGGTAGCTAAATGATATCCAATTCCTTTCTACCCATTGCAGTCAAATGTACTACCTTAACTGTGGATTTGGTCTTTACCAAGAACCAATAAGTCTTTTCATAGGAGAATGGACCCATTTCTAGTTTTGACATCAAAAATTTTTTGAATTGTTCATGGGATGTAAGAACATAATGGGCCAGAATTTTACTATTAACCTTAACTGTCCTTAAGAGTCAGCATTATTAAAGTACAGGAAGTGACCATTACATCCATATCTGCAACAGTTCTGAGCATCGTTTTTGTCCCATTCTCTTGCCCTTTTTTCCCCCTACCCTGTGCATTCATTCTAATGAAATGATCATTTAACTGTCATGGCTACTTGCCTCCACCACACTTCCAGGCAATGCATTCCAGATCTGAACTGTTTTCTTTGTCACATTGTATTTACTGTTTGCAAATCACTTTAGATGTGTGCCCTTGTTCTTGACTTTGAACATATTATGCACGAGTGTGCACATGTTTTCCCTATCTACTCTGTCCAGGCTTCTCTCATAATTCATAAATGTTTTAAGAAACATTTTCTCTTGGTCTTCCCTCTAAGAGTGCCAAACTTCTGGAAGCTTTCCTCAACTGAAGTGTCTCGCCCCATAACCATTCCCATAAACCTCTTCTGTGCAAGTTTGTAACCTCCCTCTCTGATACACTAAGTCACTGAATTTGATATGAATGCTTTATTAATCTCATTTGTCTATCATAATTTAAAGAACTGGATGTGTATGCACTTAGGATTGCTCACTTGTTAGTACACTTTATTTTGAGCACCTCAGCATGCTTTTTGTCTCAAATATACCACTTCTCTCTGCATCAAACATCTGCCACCTATCCACCCACTCTTCCAAGTTGTCTATGTCCTTTAGTTTTATTCTGTTCTAGATTTTTATAGTGCGTCCAAGTTTTGAAATTGTCCCACGCTCCAAGGTTTTATTAATATAAATCTGGTGAAGTATGGGTCCCAGTCCTGACTCGAAGAACTTGACTGCAAGCCATTCTCCAGCTTCTAAAATATCTATTAGACACTAATGTTTATCAATTGGCTAATTTTGTATTCTTGTGGCCACTGTCCCTTGTGTTTAACTTCCAATTTTTGACTGCCAAAAGACAGTCAGTACAATATACACAACATCAACACAGCTTCATCAACTGTTATATTGCTTCAAAATGCCAAAAATATGATTTTTCCCCTGTTGGCTTTCTGTAACTAATCCACTTTCTGTCCATGTGACTATTAATTCTATCCTGAATTATTCTTTCGAACAGTTTGCCCACTGCTGAAGTTAAATTGCTGAGAAACTTGGCAGGTATGGCAGCACCTGAAGAGAAAACAGGTGTTGATCTTTGAGTTCAGTGGTCCTTCTTCCACTAACACCACCTGAAGTAATGTCATTTCATGGTTTAGTATTTCTTCTGCAATTTTTTTTACTAGACATCTTCATAGCCAATGTTTATCAAGAGTTAAAATGTTTTCTTTTCATAGTGAAACAAAGAGCCAGGAAACCAAGCAAAGAGAAACACAGACTCCTTTGGAAAGACTGACTACGCCTCTTTCTACTGCAAGTAAATCAGTACAAGTCAATGGAGCAGCCACAGTAAGTTTTTATTAGGAGGGAGGTAGTTAATTTCTATTTTGCAACTGGAGAATGATTTAAGATATTTTTAATCCAAGTCTTAGCAAACTTTGCGTCTTGGCATTCTGTTTGACAATTTCCAAATGTCTTCCACTTCCCAATTCACTGCTTTTTAAGTCAGTTTCCACCTACTGATCAGATGAAGCTGGATTGATGGGAGCAGCTTTAAAATCAACAAAGTGAAACAAATTAACTACAGTTGCCAAGCTTAAAACGTGAGACTGGAAATAATAGTTGATTCTCATTAAAGCACAAAAGTGATAATGGCACTAGTGAACAAGACTAGAGCCAGGCTTATCCCACGTGCCATTATGTTTGTTGATTCTGGCTTTGTGTCCTTAAAATTGCCTACTGTTTAATTTAATTTAAATTTAAAGTTTAAGCTTTTTTGTATTACTCCATAGCATAAGAATTATCCTGGTTACAACACTTATTTTTAGGAGTGTGCCTAGAGAATGATTGTAAAATCCTTTAGTTTAAATTGTCTGACTGTGTATATCATTTGTGCACTGTTTTTCCTCCTCTTTCCAAAATCAAATTGTGACCGAGATGGTGTACAATTCAAATTAGAAAAGCAGTTTTTAACGTAGGCACAACTGAACATGCAATGTTAACAATTGTGATTTGATCATTAATTTTAGAACCTTCAGCTGAGAACAAAATGAAGTGTTGTTTTCTTAATTGACTTGCTTAACGTTTTCTAGTCAGTTTGAAAATTGAATTGGAGTTCAGCAAATTGCCAGCACTTGGCATGGCACCATTCTTAATCTAGTTGGTTGTCTGGCTTGTCCATATGTCATAAGAGCAAAAAAGGCCATTCAGTCAGATCACAATGACTTGTGCATCAACTCCAATTACCACATGGTGCCGTATTGCCAGTTTCCTTTTATCCATTCATGGGATATGGGTGTTATTGGCTAAGCCAGCATTTATTCATTTGTACCACACCGTGCCCTGCCCCTCTTTCCCCCCCCCCCCCCCCCAAAAAAAAAGATGCTTGTTATATCTCAACTGGAATGTTGTGTACAGTTGAGGGCACCACATAGTAGGGAAGATCCAAATGCAATGGAGAATGCAGAACTGATTCATTTGGAATGGTTCCAGGTCGGAGAGTTTTTAGGCATGAATGAGGAAGTTGGGACTGTTCTATCTCGAAGGCAGCTGAAGAGATTTGATAGTTATTCAAATTCATGAGTGGATTGTATGGTAGGTAGGGTGAGAATATTTCTTCTATAAGAAACAGCACAAGTGGGCATAGATTTGATGTGCAAATAAGGCCAAGGTGATGAGATGCTTTTTGACACTGCAAGTTTCATGGTATAGAATACACCATTTGGAAATGTGGCAAGTTCAATTGAGGCATTCAAGAGGGTATTTAATTTGGATAGCAATGGTGTACAGGAATGAGGGAAAACAGCATGTTGGAAGCAGATAATAGAATTGATAGATGCAATGGGCTAAACTGCCTCCTTCTGGACTGTTCTCAAACTGCCACAATCTACTTGTAGGTCCCCACATTGCTGTTAGGAAGGTATTTCAAGGATTTTGACCCAGCAACTGAAGGAATAGCAATATATTTCCAGGCCAGGACGAGGTGAAATTGCAGAAGATGGTAATCCCATGTATCTGCTCCCGTTTGTTATTTTGATGTGGAGGTGGTTCTCCTTTTGGAAGGTGCTACTTCAGGAGCCTTGGCCAATTTCTGTAGAGCATCTTGTGGATAGTATCTTAATTGTGTTGTTGGAGCTAATGTTTGTGGATGTGGTACCAGTCAAACTGGGTGCTTTGTCCTAGACAATGTCAGGCTGCTTGTGGTGTTGGAACTGCATCCATCCAGGCAGGTGGAGAGGGTATTCTATTACACTCCTGAATTCTGCCTTATGGGGAAGCTTTGGGAAATCAAAGACCTGTTGCTCACTGAAAATCCTAGCCCCTGACCTGTTGAGATAGCTGCACTTTATATGGCTGGACCGGTTCTGCTTCTGACCATAGTAAACCCCAGAAAGTTGATGGTAATGCTATTCCATGTTGTGGAGTAACGTTTAGATTCTTGGTCATTGCCTGACTCCTCTGCAAATGTAACTGTTAAATATTGTCTCGGTGTTGCTGTAAACAGACACAGACTACTTCAGTATCTGAGTCATTGTGAATGGTGAACACTGTTTACTGATATTTATATATCCCCACTCCCCAAGATCGAGAGAGCCACTGCTGCAGCTCAAAATAGTAGGGCCAAAGACCATTCCCTGAAGAACTCTTGCAGTGATGTCTAGAAAATACTCAGCTTTTCTATTCTTCCTGCCCAAATATGTGACACCCCATTTTCCAACATTGTATTCCATCTGCAAAGTTTTGGCCTACTCAGTCAACTTCTTTATTCATTCATGGGATGAGGACATTGCAGGCTAGGCAGCCTTTATTGCCCATCCCTAATCGCCCAGAGGGCAGTTCAGAGTCATTGTGGGTCTGGAGTCACATGTAGGCCAGACCAGGTAAGGATGGCAGTTTCCTTCCCTAAAGGACATTAGCGAACCAGGTGGGTTCTTCTGACAATCGACAATGGATTCACAGTTGTCATTGAATTCAATATCTGGAATTAAGAATATAAATTCCACCATCTGTCGTGGGAGGGTTCGAACCCTGGTCCCCAGAATGTTATCTGGGTCTCTGGATTAACAGTCCAGTGATAATACCATGAGGCTCTCACCTCCCCATGTCAGATTAGACGACTGTATCACCCTCACCAGTTGCCTTCCCACTTTTTTTGTCATCTGCAATCTTGGCTATAGTACGTTACTACTTTTTTCTCATCTAAGTCATTAATAAACATTGTAAATAATTTTTCCCAGCACTGATCCATGTGTTACTCCTAGTTACAGGAAGCCAACCAGAAAATGTTGGCCCTTGCCTCAATGCTGTCTTCCAATCCCCTCTCCAAGCTAATGTACCATCCTCAACATTGTAGGCTTTTATCTGATCATAAAGTATCCTTATGGTACCTTATTCAAATGCCTTTTAGAAATCAAATATTACATCTACTTGTTCTCCCTCTCTTTTTATCCTGCTTGTTACCAAGAACTGAAATTTTTCAGGCATGATCTCTCCTTCGTTAAGCCATGGCCTTGGGAAGATGGTGTTAAACCAAATCTTGACAACTGGCTTGCTCTGCCTTTTTTCAGATCGTTTGAGTAACCCCACAGCAACAGGGTTGACATGGTCAGACTGGGTAAACGTACAGATTTCCTTCCCAAACGACAATGCTGAACAAGATTAGGGTTTTATTTGGCAGCCGGAATTATTAGCTTTATTTTCTTGTGCAATTTATTTAACAAACTGAAATTGGGGTTTGGGCCAGTAGCTCTAGATCCTTAATCCAACCCTCTAGATTGTTTGCTAGTTCAGTAACTCTACTGGAACTGGTAGTAAACCAGTAAACTCCTTGTGAATGATTGCAAAGCCCAAGTTGAATCAGATGCAGGAGCATTTAGGAAATCCAAGACGTTAGATTTTAGTTTTAAAGCCCAAGTCAAATCGTTGATCAGTGAGTAGCAAAATGGGTGATTAAATATGTTGTAACTACTGTATTGCAGGCAAATTTACCTATGCATTCTAGGCATTACTGAACTTGCATTCCAATTTATTTGCCAATGCTGACACCAGAAACCACCTCTAATTTGACATGTATCCTATTAAATCTGGATGTCACTTTCCTCTGGCAGACGAGTCTTGACGGCTAATGGTATGGCTTCAATATATGACCTATTATGTGCTTTGTACGTTGAAGGGTTAATTACCAACATGGTATTTCAGTCTTAAATTTTCAATTCTATACCAGTTGTAGGATGGAATTTTCCACTTGTTTCACTTCTGGGTTTTTGTTGAGGTGATTTGCTTCACCTTGGCACAACAGCTGTGTTAAGGGCCAGGAAATGTTGAGAAATGGTGTAAGCATGCAGTATCAGTGACATTTTCATTTGCATATTCAACTCCTGGAAAACTGTGCTATCAACCTCGGCTATAGTCTGTGGAAGATGCATGTCCTTAACAGTGAAGATTACCCTATTGATTAGGTACCTCTATCTGTTAAATGCTCCTTAGCACACAATTCTAAAGCTCCTTCTAAATTCACACAAGACCTATGCAGGCAGACCTCAGTAGCTTAAAGTGGATGGGGGAGAAAGGGGTTTGGCAAGTGTCACTGATATTTACAGCAACAAATACATTGGGTAAATGTTTTGGTTTGCTTCTAATTTTTAAAAAAAATTCTTTCTGGTTTAATTGTCATAGTGGTCTTTAAATTATGCATCCTACTGATTTTTCAGTATGATCTGGGAAGGTGGCAAAGCTAAATTTAGCATTGTGTATTGCACAGATCCAGCACTTTTTTGCCATATAACTTCTAACAAAAACAAATTGCTGGGAAAACTCAGGGCTGTTCTAAAGAATAGTCACTGGACCTACTACATTAACTCTGCTTTCTCTCTAGATGCTGCCAGACTTGCTGAGTTTTCCCGGCTATTTATTTTTATTTAACCTACAGCATCTATGATTTTTTTTTTTTTGGTTTGTTTTTAGTAATTTAGGGTGGCACGGTGGCTCAGTGGTTAGCACTGCTGCCTCACAGCACCAGGGGATCCAGGTTCGCTTCTACCCTCAGGTGACTGTCTGTCTGTGTGAAGTTTGCATGTTATCCCTGTGTCTGCTTGGGTTTCCTCCCACAGTCCAAAGATGTGCAGGTTAGGTGGATTGGCCATACTAAATTACCCTGTAGTGTTCAGAGATGTGCAGATTAGGCGGGGTTATAGGGGGATGAGTCTGGGTAGAATGCTCTTGGGATCGGTGTAGACATGTTGGGCTGAGGGGCTTGTTTCCACACGTAGGGACTCTATGATCTTGACTTTTTTTTTAAAGTGGCTCTCTTTCTAACTACAGCAAATTTTGTTTTAACTGGTACTTTATGA